GTCGCGGCCCAGCCGGGACGCAAAGGGCAGCGATCCCGCTCCAAATTACCCTGAGCGGCGAGCGCGAGCGGGCGCGCGCGGCGACTCCTGGCTCGGGGCTCGGTTGCGCCTCGGGGCAGAGGATTAGAGTCGCAATTAGCTCCGCGCGCCCGCGCCTGCCGCGCTCGGCGACAAAAATGCGCTGTTTCCCCTCCTTTCGCCCAGCGATCCCCACCCGCCTCTCCCCGAGCCGTTGCCTTCCCGCCGGGGCCTCCGCCAGGACCCTCCCGGGAGCGGTGCGCCCAGGCCCCCGCGCCCTCCGCGGCCCAGCCCCCCGCCCCCCGCCGGCCGGCCACGCGGCGCCCGGGCCTCCTCCGGGCTCGGGGAGGGGGCGGGGGAGAAGCTGATTTTAATCATTGTCATTTCATCTGATGTAATATTTCCCCGGGCGCTTTCAGCTGGGCATAAATTTTCGGCTCCCAAATAAGTAACACAGGGCACGTTTCTCACATTTCTTGACTCCTCGGTTACAAAGAGGAGAGCAGCCGCCGCCGCGGCGCCCGGGGCTGGGGGCGGGACTTGGGAAGAAACTGGGCTGCGAGTCGGCCGGGGCTGGAACGGAGCCGGGGGCCAGGGCCGCCCCTCCCCCTTCCCGGCCTCCTTCCCCGGGTCTCTGCCCCTGCTGCCCCTCTCCCGGGGAGCAGCGCCGCCAGTGACGTTTGCGGACACGCGGGCGGCCACCGCGGGGGAGGGGCGCGCGGGGGGCACCCGGCCGGCAGCCGCCGGCTAGACGCGCCATTTCCTTTACGCGCGCGGCGCGATGGAGACGGTGGCGGCCAATGCTCCCTGCGGCGCCAGGGCCTGCGCCCATGACCCCACTATCGGGTTCTGGTGTCCACTGCCCCTTCCTTCGCCTTCTCTCCCACCGCCTCCTCTTCTTCTTCCCCTTGCGCCCCGCCCGTCCTTCCTCTACGACCATTTCCTAGCTCTTAGGAAACCCAGCGCTGCCGTTGTGCCCGACTCATACTGCGCCCCCGCCTGGCTCCCGGGACGTCCGGGCCAGAACCGGGCTCAGGCTGGAGGGCGGGTGCGCTCCGGTCGGGAGAGCGCCGGGGGCCCCTCCACAAGCTCCGGCCGGACCTCGGCGCCCTCTAGCGGCTGCAGTCCCGGGGGTCGCGGGGAGAGCTGTGGGAGGATGATGAACTGGGGGGGGGCCTGCCTCGCCTACTAGGGGACCTTGCGTGCAGAAGGAGCGTCCGGACCGCGTTTCTGTAACTTCTCCACGCGGGAATAAGCAGAAACTTTCCTCCTAAGGGAGGGTTTGTTTTATTTATTTATTTATTTTAGATCTCGAACTACTGGAGAAGGGGGAAATTTTCTCATTAAAGTTACATCCCTGCAGTTAGTTCAATTACTTGATATATGCAGAAGATGTTGTAAATTTATAGATTTAAATAGCTTACAAAGATGCCGCAGGCCCCATCAGTTAATTTCCTTAATTTATGGATTTTAAGCTGCTCCGAGAACAGAAAGGGGCCCTGGAAGTAGGTCAGGGATCCCTGCAATGCGGCCCAGGGCTGCCCACTCTGCTCCCCAAGCTCTGGAGCCCCTGGGCTTCTAATTCCCAGTTTTGGCTAAACAACACCACTCTTGGCGCTGGGTAGCCCGGCCAGGCCTGGCCCACCCTGAGTGGTCCGCTCAGCTCTGTGGCCCACTGCTCCGATCTGTCCAACGTTGTACAGAACCTGAGAACAGCAAAGCAACCTCCACCTCGCATTGAAGGAACGGACCCAAATAGGAAGTGACAAGTACTGTGACTTCCTGAGGTTCTCCCCAAACCCCAAGTGGGGTCACTCCTCAATGGAGGAGATCCTGTGGGGATGCTCCCAGTTTCAAGGACAGAAACTTCCTATTCCTTTGAGGAGAGAGAATGACGAAAAATGCACCGGGCTCATTTGAGGAACCAGGACCCACTGAAAACCTGCTTGTGATGGCCCTCGTGGCCCCCAGGACCCCTCAGTCCTCTTTTCTCTTCGAGGTCGTTGCTGGTGTGCCTTTGTTTTGTGTTCAATATGGATGAATATATACATATAAATTAATACTTAAAAGATTGGTATAAACTCAACTGTTTTAGGAAGCCACATGGCAATGTGATTAGTATTGGTATTCATGATTTAACATTTCTTTTCCCACTAGATGAAGTTTCTAAGATTTGCAAGGTACATGTCAAGGACGGGTGTATAAATGGATTTTTATTTATTCACAACTCCAAGACTAATTGCTTCCCTTTGCCTCAAGGCCACGAGATTGGTTTTAATATGACACTTCAAAAGTATTCATAGAAGTACAGAGATACTAAGTGTCATTGTTTAAGAGACAGATCTCACTGTTGTACTGCTGACCCTGAAAATAGGATGTTCCACTTTATTTTAAATTCCTACATGTTTTTTTAAAGAGTTTCACTTTATACCAACTATATTAAAAATGCACAATTTAATCGAAACAAAAACTGACCATTTTGAAGGACCTTTCTTTCTTTAACACTGCTGGGGACTTTGTTTTTATATTCCTGGGCCCTTTTATTAAAGAGCTGAACTTTATACATGTCGTTAAGAAGAGTAAGTTTGGGTCATAATTTATTCTCAAGTGTTTTAAAAGTTCCCGGCTAAATGTCAACCATCCCTTACATTGATATGTGGACATGGCCCTGTGATAGGCACTTAATGGTCTGTGGTATATAATACAATGGTGATGCATTTTTTAATTGAAAATGTATAATTAGGACTGAAAACATATTGCACATCTTGTGGAATACATCTACTTTGATTACTGCGGTCCAGGAAACAAAATTGGATGTGAGTCTAATCAGAACTTGCTTTATCATTAAGATTTAACTAGCACTTAAGCCATTGCAGTTTGTAGTGTAAAAAGCAGACTCAAACCTGTGCCCACTTTGACATTCCTCTGTACATCACAGGTCAGGCAGGTCGTCTGCCAGGTATAAAACCATGTGTGGCACACAGAACCCAGGGCAGGACCTCGGGTTTCCAGATGTTTCAGGTTGGTTTCCAGTGTGATTTTGTGTTTTGTTGTCATTGTTGTTTGCAGACTGTTTAAAAATTAGGATCTTAATGAGGCAGGTAAAATGAATCCCAAGTGAGATCATAGTCTGTCTAACCTAATCTCAGGAAGGCTGTGACCAGACCAATGGAGTAATAGGCTGAAGGACCCGGCAGCTGGGTCTTGCAAGGAGGGAAGAGCTGGGGTACTAGGCAAGGCTGTCTTCTCCCTACTCCCCTCAGGCTTCCTGGGGTGAAAGCCAGACCCTCCTGGATCTGTGCCCATGACTCAGAGATGGCCCATGTCCAGGCTAGAATTGAGCCAGGCCAGCCCAGAGCTCAGAATCTGATGGTCACTTGGCCTCTCGGGAATCCCCCTCACCCTTTCCACCTGGTTGAGCCCTCAAAGAGGGAATGTAAGACACTAGTGACTCCCCAAACCAGATTTCCTCTGCCTGTCATTGAAGAGAATAATGCAAGACCCCCCAGGACTCTCTGGGC